GACAACAAGAGTTCGGTATGGAGCATCACTGAAGATGAGGGGAGCCTAGAAAGTGGGAGAGTGGAAACAAACACTTCCAAAATTGGTCTACCTTCCTTCACAACTGTCCTGGGATAGTCAGCCCCCAGGAGAGGTAGCAAGGGGCTCCAAAGGAAATTAGTATTTTATGAATTGCCCCAGCCTGCAACAGTGGGCAGGTGATGCCCATGTGGCAGCTGTGAGGATCCTTAAACAAGTTAGGGACTGGATATCTGAATGTCCAAGAGGTTGGTGGAGCAGACAGCTAAATGCACCTCAACCTGGTTCCTAGATCTCAGGGCCTAACATCACCAGGATGTGATTTCCAGATTATTTTTCTCAAAGAACTGTCTCCCAAGGCTCAAAACAGTACAGTGAAGAGTGCTTTGGGGTCCACCAGACCTGGGGGTGGCAGAGACTGCTAACTGGCCCCCTAATAGCCATCCTCCTTCTGGATAGTCATGCAGATTTCAACTCAGCATGTGGCTCATTACATTTCCCAGCCTCCCTTGCAGCCAGGTATGGCCACTGATCAGCTTCTGTCTAATAGGATGCAAGTAGAAAGGAGGTGGGCAACTTCCTGGTAATATCCTTGAAAAGAAAGGAGCTTCCATTTCAGAGGAGGAAAAGCAAAGTTCTTAAAACAGCCTATAAGGTCTTAGATCAACACTTTGCAGTAGAACTTTCTGTAGCGATGGAAATGTTTTATACCTGTGCTGACCAACATAAAAGCCAATGGCCACATGCAACTACCAGAACACTTGAAATGTGGCCAGTATGACTGAGAAACTGAATGTTTAATTGTATTTACTTTAGATAGCCAACTGGCTACCATTTTGGACACAAGCCCCAGATTGTCCACCTTGAGTCTTCCCTATCCCCCACCAATTCCCCACCCTCACCTCCCTGACTCTACCTCCCGCCATCCTCCCCTTCTCACTCTGCCCCACCACACTGGTCTCCAGCTACTCTTCAAGCTGTCCAAGTATGCCTCCATCTCAACTTTCCTCTGGCCCTTCCCTTTGTCTGAAACACTCTTCCTATACCTCCTAGAAGCTTTTGCTTAAACCTCACCTTTACAGTGAATTCTGCCATGACCCACTATTTAAAACTACAATCTGTGCTCCCACACAAACACATTAGAGTCGGCTTACCTTGTTCTATCCTTTTTCTCCCCTGCATTTATGACATTCAAACATAGTATATAGTTCACTTATTTGCATGTTATTTCTGACTGTCCTGCTAGAAGGAAACAGAACTACAAGGGCACAGAACTTTGTTTCATTCACTGATGAATCCAAGTGTCGAGAATAAGGCCCAGCCCAAAGTCAGTGTTCAAAAGAAAAAAAAAAAAAACTTTATTGAAACAGCAAAAAGAAAAAGGAAATTGCCCATCCCCTTCTTTCCTTCCTCCCTCTGGGTGGAAACGCAGACACGGTGATGGGAGCTGGTGCAGACCTTGGCTGCAGAGTTTGACGATGTATCAGAATGGCAGGAAAATAAGATTAAAGGTGTGGGCCATTATTGCAGAGCTCTGCACTACTTATGCCCAGCAAAAGAAACATCCCCTCATCTAAGCCATGATTATATTTGAAGTTTAGTTATAGCAGCCAGAAAGAACCTGCACCTAATTTATTGGGTTAGGTCCCAGTGGAGACTTCTCTGAGCCCGTGTCTTCATCTCCAAAATGGGGGCTGGGCACAGTGGCTTAAGCTTGTAATCCCAACACTTTGGGAGGCCCAGGCAGGTGGATCACCTGAGCCCAGAAGTTCAAGACCACCACAACAAAACCCTGTCTCTCCAGAAATTTTACAAATTAGCAGGGCAGGGCTAGGCATGGTGGCTCCCACCTTTAGGAGCACTTTAGGAGGCTGAGGCTGGCAGATCACTTGAGGTCAGGAGTTTGAAACCAGCCTTGCCAACATGGTGAAACCTTGTCTCTACTAAAAATACAAAAAAAGAATAAATAACTGTGCATGGTGGTGGACACCTGTAATCCCTACTCAGGAGGCTAAGGCAGGAGAATCACTTGAACCCAGGAGGTAGAGGTCACAGTGAGCCAAGATCTCACCACTGCCCTTCAGCCTCGGTGATAAAGTGAGACTCTGTCTCAAAAAAAAAAAAAAAAAAAATTAGCAGGACACAGCGCCACACACTTGTGGTCCCAGCTACTCAGGAGGCAGAAGGTTGAGGCTACCGTGAGCCACAACTGTGCCACTGCACTCCAGGCTGAACAACAGAGCAAAACCCTGTCTCAAAAATAAAGCAAAACTAAACATCTCCAAAATGGAGCTAACACCTGCCTCGTGAGGTTTTCAGTAGGATTAAATGGCACTGCACATCTAGCACCATAGAGGGCCCAGCCAAGGACAAGCTACTCAGAGCTGCTGGACAGAATGTACCCTGGGCGTGGAAGGGCCAGGCCCCTGAATTCCATGGAGATGAGACAGTGTTTAGGGTGGGTAAGGTGGCTGTGTGCTCCTGTGAATGTGAACTCAGAGGTTGGGCAGTGTCTCTGGCACTCAGGTGTCAAGAGCACAGAAGGTGGGGGCACGCCATCTGCAGCACAGCCTGCAGCCCATCAGGTCTGGAGGGAGTCCTGCTTCTCTCAGCACCTCTAGGGATAGGGCCAAGGAACAAGGAAGCTTCCATTCAGTGAGAAGGAAAAGAGAAAGAGCCTGCAAACGCCAGGGTATTGTCAGTCAGTCCAGAAGGCAGGTAGAATTGGAACCACCATGCCCATGCTCTACCCTGTGACTAGAAAGCCCCTCTTCCTCCAGCGAGGAAGCCCCTCTCCTCTTTTCCCAGACCAAATTCTCAGGGGACAACTCAGAAGCACAGAAGTCACCACTAGGAGCAAAGGGGACCAAAGAGCCATAAGCAGACATGTTTGGGATTTTAAAAATTTATCTGAATCTCCTTATTCCCAAACTTCCTGGTGGGAGGCAGGCCAGGCAGTAACATGAACATCTCAAGGACACCACAGTCACTGCAATGACCAAGCCAGTCTGTTTCCTCATTGATGAAATGAAGGTGATGGACCACATAGTCTCTGATGTCCCACTGCATCCTGACAGCTGACAAATCTGTTTGTCCTCAAAGACAGGTCTGAGAGGGAGAAAAACTGATGGGGAGGATGAGTTAGAGCTCCAGGCTCCCTGTGGTTGGAGGCTTATCCATCAGCTGCCGGAGGTGAGAAACCGCTTTGTCCAATTTTGACAATTCCAGCTGGAGGGAAGAAAGCTGGGCCAGGAGAAAAGGAGGTGAGGATCCAGGAATGAGGCCCACCACTCCTGGCCCACATTCTCTCAGGGGTCGGGGCTTCTGGGGGCCTCCCCTAACCTTACCTTTTGTTGCCTCTGAGTCTCTGCCTCCCCTTCTGATGGGGTTCTGGCTATGAGGCCATCAAGCTGCTTCTGCAACTTGTGCCTTCGGGCAGCTAACAGAGATAGCTGGATCTGGGGGTCCACCAGGCCCTGGGGAAGAACAGGGAGAAAAGGCTCAGACATCTGCATGCTGCCAGGCCTCCATCCTCCATTAAAAGGTTCCTTCCCCTACTTTATACAGCCCAGCCCCTCCCTTCCTCCCAGCATGCTTCCCAAGCCTGCCCTAAGCCTCCCCATCCCCTCTGGTCACCTGCAGCTCCATGTAGACCTGAACCGTGTCACTGAGTGGAGCCTGGGCCCAGCCAGAGGGAGCTGCTGCACCTGGGGGTAACAGGCCCACAGCCCCACAGTGGGCCAGGGTGGCCAGGGGCTCCAAGAAGGTCTCAAAGAGGCCCTGCTCCCCAGGCTCTGAGCTCTGCAGCAGCACTGGAAAGACAGAAACCATCAGGGGCAAGGCCTTGGCTCCTGCCTGCCTTCCTACCTGCACCTCCTAATGAGGGGGTCTACCCTTCAGTCTCTCCTCTTTTCCCCACCAGCTCCCTCTTCCTGCAAAGAACCGAGCCTAGGACCCGCCCTGCCTCACCTCGGGGCCGGGCTCTGGTGAGCTGGTACGTGGCTCGGAGAGCTCTCAGCACCTGTACCACCTCCTGGACCCGGGAGAAGTGCTGCTCCAGCTCCAGCTGGCGCCAGTGCTCCTGGAGATGAAGGACCCAGAATCAGCAAAGGGGCTCCTGGGAGACTCAGTACCAACCCTCTGGCTCTGTCCTCGACCCATCTACCCCATCTCCTTAGGGCAAGGAGATCTGTCCTCAACACTACAGAAAATCCACTCTCTCAAGGAACATGACAAAAAGTGAGGGGTCATCTAGAGGTTCCAGATGATCAGTGTTTGATGTCAGCTTAGTTGCTCTGATTGAAATGGCCAACCAAAAATAAATTAGAATTTAAAATGAATTAGTCAAAACTCAAAAACAAATAAGTATAAAAGATATTTAAATAGTTAAATTTTAAAATAATTTTTGGGTGCATTCATAGCATTTATCCTTGGGAAGTTATTAAAGCTGCACTGAGATTTTGGGGACACCAACCCTCACCACACCATGACATATACTATTACTGCTCCTAGTTTAAACATGGGGGAAACTGAGGCTTGATCACACAGCTCAAAAATAGCAGTCTAGCAACAGAGTCCTGCTTTTGAGCACTACGCTAATACTGTCCCTCAAGACCCTAGGGTCCTCGCAGCCACCATGCAGGAACAGTCCATCCTCCCCAGGGACCCACAGTAAAGTATAAGCCATTCCTGCAGATGAGCCCCTGCAGCGAACGCTTTCAGAAGGCGCTCCCCACCCTTCACCCAGGTGTCATGTACCTGGACTCACCAAGCTGCAGGCGCTGGGGTAGGGGGCAACTGAGACACTAGGGGCAGGGGGGCAACCAGGCCTGGGGGGCAGCCTCTGCCAGAGCTCTTCAGCCAGGAAGGGCATCAGTGGGGCCAGGAGGCGGAGGCCAAGGTCAGCACAGGAGAACAGGACCTGAGGGGGCCCCAGGGGGCGGGGCGAGTGCCGCAGCACAGGCTTCACAGCCTCCTGGAGAGGAAGCCAATGGTCAGAAGACAGGCCAAGGCCAGAGCCTGCCACCCCACAGCCAGCACCCTACCCGACAGCGGGACAGGCCATGGGTCCTGGGAGAGAGGAACAGGCAGAAGCACTTAGCACGTCCGATAAGATCCACAGTCCTAGGACACACTCAGCGCAAAGAAGGGAAACCCAGGGCAGCAATTCTCGGAAGTATATGGGGATAATATTTCTAGGGAAACGTGTATAGGGAAAAAAATAATTGCGTTTTTCTGAGTTTTTGATTTTTTTTTTGTTTTTGTTTTTTTGCTTATCAAAAGGGGACAAAGGTTTTTAAAAGGCTGAGCTAGGGCAGTGGTTCACAGCCAGCAGCAGCAGCACCACCTGGGACAAGAAACGAATATTCTTAACACCCACCCACCCCACTCCAACCTACGAGCCACTCTGGGGCAGCTAGGGGATCCATGGTCAACAAGCCCCACAGGTGCTTTGGGCGTAGGACAGCATGAGAACCCCTGGTCTAAAGACCACTGCTACCCGCTCCTAGGCCTCTCTGCACACAGCCTGTCCACAGGCCAAACTCAGCAACTACTGGGACTGAAAAAATGCTCCTCTGACCTCTGACCCAGACTTGTCAGACACTTCTAGAAGTCTCCCTCCTCGTACTCTCCCCAGGTGTTGGGCAGGCAACAGTGCCTGGCTGCACTGCTGAAAGCAGTCCCAGGAAGAGGGGAACTGAGACTACTCCTTCATCTCCTCTCCTCTCCTGAAGGGACAATTGGGAACTTATTAACTCCAGAGCTCTATGCCATGGAATCAGATTTCCAGAGGAATTAGAAGCAGGTCTGCAGGGGTGGGAATGCCGAGCTTCCCCCAGCCTCACTCACTAGGTAGACGTCACAGAGGTTATGGAGCCAGAAGTGGTGCAGGGCGTGAGTGACAAGTGAGAGCTCTCGGTTGAGGAAGCCCCGCTCACACTCCCGGGCGGCCAGGGCAAGGCGGCTCAGGATCCAGGCGTCCACGGGGCAGGAGGGAGACAGCTGCAGGCAGAGGGGGCTTCAGGCCCAGGACGGCCTGACTCCCGCTCCCCTGCCTCCGTTCCTTCCAGATGCCACCTCAGCCCTCTGACACCTGACTACCCTACTCCCAAGCACCTCTGCTTTCTCTTACCTCCTCAGCAGGCTGTGGCACAAATTTCTCCCCTAAGGCATTGAGGATAAAGCGCAGGGCATTCCAGATCTTGTTGCAGAAATGTCGGCAGCTCTGGACCTCAGAGACAGACAGGCGCAAGTCACCCCCTGGAAGAAGAGAATGGAGGTAGTCTGCATGTAGGTGGCGGCAGCACTGGATGTCCTGCCCCTACACAGGTGCCCGCTGCCCTCTGCTCACCCAATACCCCTCGTGCAGGCTTACCCTGAACTCCGTGGGAGCAGAGTGTGAATCTCAGGGCATCTGTCCCACACTCAGGGATCCCATGAGGAAAGTCCTTTTTCTGCAAACAGAGGAAAAAGAAGGGTGGAAAATGCCTTTGCAGCTGCAGGGCCAGGACCCAGGCTGGAGAGGAAGCCAGAGGTGGTGAGCTAGAGCTGGGAGTGGGCAGGCAGCAACCACTTACCTGTGCCGCGGCGGCAATGGCCAGCTCTGCAGGGTCCAAATTTCCACTTCTCAGCTTTTCCTGCAGCACCTGGGGAGTGGGTAATTCACAGCCCAGGTCAAAGGTCTCGCCTCCACAAGGGTCACACTCACAGGCCTCACTCCTCCCTCAGCCTCCCTTCCTCTCTCCTTCGAACCCCACCAACCCTGTCCCTCCTGTGGGTGCTTCATCCTCACCTGCATCTCTACCCCACTGATGATGTCTCTTGGGTCCAGCACATTCCCCAGGGACTTGCTCATTTTCCGGCCCTGCCTGTCCCGAACCATGGGATGAAGAAGCACCTGGGGGCAGGGAGGAATCAGCAGAGGGGGGCTCCAAGAGCCTTTCCTTGGGGGTCCCTTGGGATCTCTGGCCTTTTGGGATCTCATACTTTTGGAGGTGACGGGAAGTGAATCGGAGAAAAGGAATTGGGAACATGGAAACAACCACGTTAGGAATTAGAATAAGGGAGGACAAGGTTTGGGGAACACTGGGGTCACAGAAAGGGGCGGGGCACTGAAGGGCTGTTACCTTGCTGAAGGGCAGCTGCCCTGTGAGCTGGGTCCCCAACATGACCATGCGACCCACCCAGAACAGCAGAAGGTCACTGCCCGTTTCCAAAAGTGACAGTGGGTAGAAATGAGCAAGGTCTGCGGTCTAGAGGGAAGAGAGCAGTAACAGGCCCAGGCCCCGGGCCCCCATCAAGCAAATGCTGGGGCCTAGCTGTCCCTTCCTCATAGTTTCCCCTTCACTCTCACCCTCTCAACCCGCCTCACCTCTTTGGGCCAGCCCAGGGCAGAAAAGGGGAACAGGGCAGAAGAGAACCATGTGTCCAGGACATCAGGGTCTGGGAAACAGAAAAGGAATGGGGACAGTTGGAACCTCGGCTTCCGGGACTTCAGACCACTGCTGCCACCATTCTAGGCCAACTCCCAGCCCCAGGACCAGGACTGTCCCCTTTGGCTCCATTCCCAGCTTTCCTGACCCTACCTTCTCCATCTCAGTATCTGTTCCCCTTAAAGGCCCAGATGCCCAGTTCCCCGCTCCCCTGTACATCCGTCCCCAGCTCAGGTACTCACCCCTCTTCAGGGCCAGCTCTGCCCCTGGCCTCCCTGTCAGTTCTGCTGCTGCCTCTCTGGCCTCAGCCTCTGACCGTCCAACCACCCAACAGTCTTCTTCACCCTGCAAAAGTAGTAAGGGGTCAGGGAGAGTGAGGAAGAACAGCTGGCAAGTGTAAATGTCACTTCATTTTCATGTCTTCTCATGTGGTCTTAGAGTGGCCAGGTTCCTCCAGGGTGAGATAAAGAAACCCCAGTTCAGGGAGCGTTGATGGCACAGAAGGTTAAGTGACTACGAGCATGAAGCACGTGAATAGGCAGGAGTGGGCCTGGCACTGCAGTGCTCTGACTCCTGGGCCAGGAGCTCTGTGCCACACTCAGCCCTCCCAGTACTTCTTCCTACCCACCTGCGCATGGTCCTCTACAACCAGGTAGGCTGGAATCTGATGGCCCCACCACAGCTGCCGGGAGACACACCAGTCCCTGCCAGAAGGACATCCGTGAAGTCTTAGAATAACCAGTCAGTCCCTCCTCCCCATCTCCACAAGAGCTCCCCTTACCCGACCCTTACCCAATGTGGGAAAACCAGTGCTGCCAGCTCTTCTGGTGGAAGGAGGGACTGAGCTCCAGGGCCCCCGACTCCACAGCCTGGAGGGAATAGGGTCTTTAGACGATGTTTCCCTTCCTACATGGCCACACCCCCATGGATACGATGAGCGGCCTCTGAGGTCATTTTAAAATTCAAAAAGAACCTCTCAAGCCTCCTGCAAAGATTCTGGGCTTGAGTAAGGATATGAGCCAGCCCTTTCTGGGCTGCCCGGCCTACCTCCCACACATCCTCTCAATTACCACAGCTGAAGAGGCCTTCGGGGTGGAGGTCCTTCTGCCTCCCACTTCTTCATTCCAGTTCTCAGGGAGCTCCCCCAACCCCTGGCCCAGTCCTTCCTATACTACAGCCTCACCTGAGCAGCTCGGGCCCCCATTTCCTGGCAGCGGACAAACCACTGGCTCTTCAGCAGGTATTCTATCACGTCCCCAGAACGACTGAAAGGAAGACAGGGTGAGTCCACTGCTCCTCTGGCCCTGTGACTTCTCCCAGGGGCACAAGACCCTATACCATGCCAGGCCCTTGGTACTGAGGACACAATAGTGAATGAACAGAGACTGTATTCTAATGGAGGGGTGCAGAGCCCATCCTATTGTTACTCTTAAGCTTCATGCATTCCCTTTTGGGGTAGCCCTTAGTAAAGGAGCTAAAATGAGGTTACCTGCAGATGGGCAGTACCATCGGGTGGTTCTGGAGGCCCCGGAACAGGCCCCGTTCAGTCAGTACAGACATTATCTTTTCCCGGGCCACAAACCGGTGAAGACCCTAGAGAAAAAGGAGCAAGAGTAAAGCTGAAAGTCCTCTAGAGAAATAAGAAACTGAAGAGAGGAGTAGGCAGACAGGTGCCCCCAAAGGATGGGGTAACACAGGCTGGTACCACCTGCAGCCAGTCCCCGCAGAGGGAGGTCATGGTCCCATCCTCTGCAATGACGTTCACGGGGCTCAAGCCATGTCGGGTCCCCATCTCAGCATCGGCAGGACTGTGAGCTGGAGTCACCTTCACAGCCCCTGGGGGAGCATAGCCATGGTGAGTCCTGAACCTGACCTTGGCTTTTGCTTTTCCAGATGTATCGTCATCACCCGCATCACCCGCACCGCCCCATCACCCACACCGCCCCATCACCCACACCGCCCCATCACCCACACCACCCCTCACCCTCACCGCCCCATCACCCGCACCACCCCTCACCCGTACCGCCCCATCACCCCACCGCCCCATCACCCACGCCACCCCTCACCCTCACCGCCCCATCACCCGCACGGCCCCATCACCAACACCGCCCCATCACCCGCACCACCCTTCACCCTCACCGCCCCATCACCCACACCACCCCTCACCCTCACAGCCCCATCACCCACACCGCCCCATCACCCACACCGCCCCATCACCCACACCACCCTATCACCCACACCACCCCTCACCCTCACAGCCCCATCACCCACACCGCCCCATCACCCACACCACCCTATCACCCACACCACCCCTCACCCACACTGTCCCAGCCCCTTCAACTTTGTCTGTGCCTCCCTCCCATTCTCCACTCAGACCACCCTATGTGAGGTTCTCCCATCCCCACCTTCCTCCTCCTCCTGGTTCCCTCCCCTCTCCTCCAGGACCCCCACCTTTCTCTCCCTCCCCTGCCCTTCACTCACCTGTGCCCACATGTGGCTGAACAGCACAGTCTGTGATGAGGGGGAGAGGCTGCCCCATCAAGGGGTGACGAAGCTGTCGCCCGTGTAGATGCTGAAGGGAGGGGAGAGAAATCAGGGACAGGCACCTGTGTGGGGTAGAAGGGTCTGGGCTGGGGTGTGAGAACCCCAGGAATAAGAGAGCAGAAAGTGGAAGGTAGTGAGCTAGAGCAAAGTCAACAAACTCTTAAGGGGCCAGAATGTAGATATTTTAGGCTTTTGGCCTAGAGACAAATTCAGTCTCTGCACAATTACTCTATCCTGCCACTGCAGCAGAGCTGGATAGAGTATATAATGGCGGCCATAAATAATAAAAAAGGCCGCACGCTGGATTGGGACTGTAGGCGAGTTTGTCAACCCCTGAGCTAGAGAAAAAGTATAAGAAGGTGAGGGAGTCAAATCAGAGCTCCTGCAGGTCTGAGAGAAGTCCCAGGAAAAGGAAGTAGAAGCAAGAAAGAAGGAGCCACCATTGAAAGCCCAAGAGAAGGCCGGGCACGGTGGCTCATGCCTATAATCCCCGTAATGCACCCGGGGCGGGTGGATCACGCAGTCAGGAGTTCAAGACCAGACTGGCCAAGACGGTGAAATCCCATCTCTACTAAAAATACAAAAATTAGCCAGGCATGGTGGCAAGTGCCTGTAATCCCAGCTACTCAGGAGGCTGAGGCAGAAGAACTGCTTGAACCCGGGAGGCAGAGATTGCAGTGAGCTGAGATCGCACAACTGCACTCCAGCCTGTGTGACAGAGTGAGACTCTGTCTTAAAAAAAAATAAATACAAATAAAATAATAATAAACAAAACCCAAAAGAAGAGAAGGCCATGGGGTGGGCAGGCCCGAGTGCACTGGGTATTACCGTGTAACGGGAGTCATCTGGATGAACAGCCACAGCCACGTCCCCAGGCAGTGTCTCTGGCCTCGTAGTTCCTACTACAACCTCTGCGTCTGGAGACAAACATTTAAGCACTTACAGCTGGTCATCATCCTCACCCCTCACTGCCAGCATAGCTAAAGGCAGTAGAACTGGAAAGGGGAAGGGGCAGGGAGTAGTCAATGTGGAAGAGGACCCCAGGAATGACTAGAAAAAAGTAGGAGCAGTGTTTATAGGAACCCAGGGTTTTCCATAAGCTGATGACCAGAGGCCTGAGAGGGTGTCTGGTGCTAAGGAATTTGCATGGAAGAAATGGGAGCAGCATTAATTAAATCAACTAAAGTAGAATTCTTGCTGGGTGCCCAGAGGACACTGGGGATTCTCAGTGTCCTAATCACAAATGCTGTACATTCTCCAGGGTGAGCACCTGTGCAGGGGCAGGACATCCAGTGCTGTCATCACCTACAATCAGCCCCTCCTACAAGAAGCTTCCTCTGACGATTCTAGCTCATCTGTCTTCCCTTTCTCTGAGCTCTTCAGAACGTTTACCCTAACACACCTTAGAACTGATCTTATGTCTCTTTCCTGGGTAGCGCACTCCTGCAGAATCACACCAAGCTCTCAAAGGGCAGCGACCACCCGCACTTTTTGCACATCCCCCAGAAGACCCAGGCAGGGTAAGTGCCCGCACCGAGGTGAACACTACCAAGGTTCATGTGGGAGACAGACTGATGGGTTCCTAGCATCCCAGCATGGGCTCCAGAAAGCAGGGAAAATAGAGGTAAACGGGTGACCCTGCAGAGGACTTTGCTCACCAGGCTCTCCATCCACTGGGAAGGCAACAGAAAATAGGAGGCCAAAAGACACAGGGGTGGGGCAGCCAGGCAGTCGAAGCTCTGTGTGGCCAGGCAGCGGCCGGTTCTCCACCTGGAGGCACCAAGAGAGCTGGGTCAGAGGGCAGCCTTTCTGTAAGGCTCGTACCCAGGTTTCACTCTGCCACTCATCCACCTGCCCAGCCTCCCTGCAACCCATCTAAAAGCCATCTGGAGGATTCAGGAGCCACCTCCAACCACCTTCATCCAATGCTTGTGTAGTCACACTTCTAATAAATATTCACTGAGCACTTAAGCCACAGCCAGGTTATGTTGCCAAGCACCTTTGTGAATTCTCGTTTAATTTTTACAACACCCCACGATGCAAGCATTCCATCATCTCTAATTTACAGACTGAGGAAGCTGAGGCTTAAAGAGACTAAACAGCCTGCCAAAAGCCACAAAGCCCTCACAGGAAGCCCTTAGATTTGAATCTAGGCACCCTAGCTCCAGAGTCTGAGCTCTTAACCATTGACCACTCTGCCTCAGAGCTCTCCCAAACCTGCTTCTCTTGCTCCACCTTACCTCAATGTCTGAGATGGCTGATCTTAAAGCACACGACCAGTTGACAAGCTGATGGTTCCGGTACAGCAACCCCGCCTTGTGAAGTCGCACAAAAGCTTCAGTCACAGCCACTGAGGAGCCCTGGAATGACCTGAGTGTCCACCTCTAACAGCGGTTGCTCAGCCCATCACCCTATTTAGGGACCCAGGCATTGCCACCTCCCTGCCCCACAGAGATTTCTAAACATCCTCCAACACTCACAGGGACCAAGGCACAGAAACACTCACAGCATCCATGGTAAAACACTCTCGATCCCAGTCCAGGGAGGCACCCAGAGCTTGCAGCTGCTCATAGATCTCTCCACCTTTCCTGTGCCCAGAGAGATCCTTGTCAGCAAATGCTTCCCAAGCACTTCCCATATACCAGGCCCAGCAATGCCCCCAGCAATGCCAGGTGCTGGATGAAGATCAAATGAGGATGGCATTGATCCAGCCTCTACAGGCTAATAGAAACAGACTCACAAACCCAGTATGGGGTTTTCTAAGATATTTAAAGAGGCAAAAGGTTCTATAGGGAGAGAGGAGGGCCAGCCACATTGTGTGATATCCAAGGATGCTTCACAGAGAAGATAACATGAGATAACAGACCTGGAAGAATGAGGGTAATTCCATGACAATTGGAACGTAGGAATGGGTGAGTGGAAGAAGTTGAGATTTACACAAGAGAAAGTGGGGTAAGTAGAGAGAAAGAAAAAATGCACAAACACACGAACATTCAAATACATATATAATATACACACAGACACACACACACAAATGGCTTGGAAACGCCACCAAACATTAAGGGGCTCCAGAGCTTCCATCTCTGTGTTGGGACTACAAGTCAGGAGTGATAGTGGTGGGACATAAGAACTCAAATCTGCCATCTGGGCCCCCCTACCCCTGCCCATCATACTCACGCCTCCTTCCACTGCCACACTTCCCTAAGGAAGTCCTCCTGGCTCAGCTCATGTCTCCTCACTCCCCGTTCCTTCCACAGTTGTTTTTCTACTACAGCCTGCAGTTGGATTCAGGGGAAATGAACAGTCAGGTTGGTTTCAGGGAAGAAACTGCTTTCACCCAAGAAAAGGAACATATAACAAAAGACATACTTGTGTAGCGATTCCCGCGTGATCGGAACCAGGGACCCACAGCACTTGATCCCCACGCATTCGATGCCTGCAACAGAAATGCCCTCCCGTGAGCACCTGTGCTTAAATGTTTATCCTCACTCATTCCTACCCTTCCTACTTCCCTTCCAAGAACTCAAGCAGCCTCCACTCCCCTCTCACCAGCGCACGAGGGCATCCTGTATGGCCACCGTGAGTGCGTGGCCGATGTGCAAGGAGCCAGTGACATTGGGAGGTGGGATACACATGGAAAAGGTCTCCCCTGTAGCTTGGGGCAGCTGGGCCTAGAGGAAGAAAAAATGTCAAAGGGCAAGAGAGAATTGGATTGAGGAAACAGCACCCTCTGCTGTCTCCAAAACAAAAAAACTTCAGGGAAGAACTGTCCTGCAAATAACAGGAGGGTGGAGAGGAGGGAATCGCCCAGGGGGAACCTGCCAAGAGAAATCTTTGGAGACACCAGGGCCAGAAAGAAGGCAAAGTCTACAATGTCAGCTCAACTCTGAGGTTCCAGTTGTATTCAAGGGCCACTCTGTCCTGAAGAACATTTAGGACCTCTCCCCACCAGATACGAACCTGATATTCTGGTTTGAAGAAGCCCTCTCGTACCCACCACGGGTACCAGGCAGCCTCAACATATCGGGGGCTGTATGCAGGAGGCAGGGGCCCCGAGACATCTGTGGAGGTAAGGAGAGCTCCACTAACCACTGAACATCTTCCCAAGCTGCATTTCGGCGGGCCAAATGGGTAACACAAATGGGAAAGAAAAGACCTTTTTACTTATTCTACTTACCTTTCTTTTCACCGGGTTTCGTAGGGATTTCATACAATACTACCTCCTTAGGACTCCAGGCCTTAATGGATTCTGCAGGCGACTGAGGAGAAAAAGCAGAAGAGGCTGGGATCCAGTATACCCCAGACATCTGCATTTCAGCCCATCTCGTCCAGCCCCTCCCAAATCTCAGAAACCCAAGAACTAGCTGTCTGACCCCTAACCTTGCTCTCCCCTGCTATCCCAGCCTCTAGAGTCGCCTGCTTCTCTCGCAAGCGCTTCTGTTTGGCTTCACGGTTCCTCCGGGAGATGGGAGATCCATGGGGTTCCGACTGTGTAGAAACGGGATGGAACCTGGGGAGGCCCCATGAGGGCCTCAGCCCCAAAATAGGCGGTCGAAAAGAGGATAGAGACAAATGAGGCATCAGGAGTATTTGGAAAGGGGCTGAGATCTGTTCTGGATAGAGAGAGAGCACATTAGGATACGGGGGTGCAGGAGGCTCACTCTCCTTGTTCCATCTTTCCCGGCTCTGATCAGCACGGGTCTGTTAATCCTTCCCACACCACGTTTCCTCCTGGAGGGCTAGAGAGGCATAGTGTCGACAGACAGTGTCGTGGAGCCACGGAGACCAGGGCTCTTCCGGAGCACGGCCGGAGTGTCTAAACTTGGCCGTAACCACTGACACATGTGAGGGGAGGGCACAGAAATTCAGGGAGATGATGGCCATCAGCGCTCCCAGGAGCAAGCAAGGAGTCCTGGCAGGGCCGCTACGATCTCCGCCAGCCCAGGGGCCTCCTGCAGCGCCCACAGCTCGGCGCGGCCTGGCCTTCCCGCCTATACCAACGCGTTGACCCAGGCTCCGCAGCGCTTCCCACTTCTCAGAGAACGCCCCAGCATGCGCTCACCGCGAGATCCCGCCGCTATCCCAGGGCGCCCCGCGGCTGCAGGGACTGGGGACTCCACCTACCCCGGACCCTGGAACTTGGCCGCGGAGCCGCGCGGCGCATGGGGGCGGGGCTCAGGCCGACGCATGCGCAGCAGCTTGCTTCGGCCTCACCCTCTCCCTCCCGGTCCAACGGCAGTAAACGCAGAGGACGGCGTTCGCAGCGAAGGCAGACCCCACAGGGAGGCGCCTGGGACCGCACTGTTCACTATCACAACTTTATTAGACAAGAAAAGTCCCGACGCGTAAATAAAAAACACCTGAGTTCTGAAGCCCCGCCCCGCCCGGTCCCGCCTGCCGAGGTCCGTCCGGGTCCTAGTCCTGCGCTCTCAGGAGCTGTGTTTCTGCCGCTTCCAAAAGCGCTTGACGTCGCTGTGCCCGGCTGGGGTCACCACCATGAGCCTCTTGGCCGAGTTCTCGAACACCAGCACGCCCAACTCGCGCGCGTGGGCCAGCAGCAGCTCAAAGTCCACTTGCGACAGGAACTGGTTATACAGGACGCCTGGGGTCGGCAGAACGGGAGGGGCGTCGGGAGAAGAGGAGAAAGTGAGGTTCGGAGCTCCTGCTGGAAATCCCCCCAGCTCCTTCGTGGCAGCCCTGGAGAGTGGTCTGGGCTTTCCCCCACTGCAGTTCTAGAAACTAATGATCTATGCTTGTCTGCTCAGGGGTTTATCTTAATACCAGTGTGATCGGTCATATTCATAAAGGCCCAATAGAAATTACTGTGAATTATTCCCTCCCCTAGGGACTCACCCCAAAACAAAAAACTCTCTTGCCACCTTTTTTCTCCTATTTCATGAAGTAAAAATTAAAATGCATGTAACGCTTTTACAGCTTATCAACACTGAATTGCCTGCCTATCCTCTGACCAATGACCAAGCCTTGGCCACCAAAAGCGACTCACCCTCGGTGAACCGGAGTCTGTCCCTTTCCAGCTCCCAGAGCCGGATCTGGTCCGTGATGGTGGGGGGGAGCACAGGTGTCTGCAAGGGGCAAGAGTTGGCTGTAGGGACTCAGGAATACTGCCCCAGACTACCTGGCCCTCCGCTCCTTCCCCAGATTTGGATGCCCGTTTTTCTTTTCCATCATCTGTCTCATCACCAGCTGCCAGCCTCTGACATCTTGAAGCCTGCCTGTACCTGTTTGAGCATCACTGGATGGGCCCTTGTCCTTAGGAAATGGATTATCTAGGAAAACAGACAAGAATGGCATGAGGGCTCCAGCAAGAGGACACGAAAGCCATCTGAGCTGTCACCTAATGTCACTGGAACATCAGCTTACTCTAAAAACTCCTAACCGCTGTCATCAACTCCACCCATCCCAGTTCAGCTGTTATCCCAAGTTGCTGCTCCCAGTGGTCACGTCTGCTATTCCTTCTCTGGCACATTTGCCCTTTCCAGTAATGTTTTGCTTTTCTTTCTTTAAAATAGCAACAGCTACTATTTTTTTTTTTTAGCACTTATTGCATGGCAGGCGCTGAGCTCAATGCTTTACCCAGATTCTTTCAATGAATTATCCCAACAGCCCTGAGGTGAGAACTGTTACTTACTAGATGAAGAAACAGGCTCACAGAGGCAAAGCAACTAGGTCTAGTTTAAGCAGTTAGGATATGGTGGTGCCACGGCACAAATCCAGAGCTATACCTCCGCCTTCCATTTCTTCCCCATCAAGGGTCTGCCTATTCTCACACCCAAAGCCTTGATTTCTCTTCAAAGACAGACAACTCACCACCACCTATTATAACAGACTCAGGGCTAGCCTTCCATAATGTGACCTGTACCCCATAGCCCAAGTGCAGCCTGTCTTCCTGCTCTACCTCTCCCAAGTAGGAATACCTGCTGGGCTGTGATGCCACTGGCGATTGCCTGCTGCACACTCTCCCGGGTCACCTGCGCCACCACCATATTGGGGAACCGATAGAGCATCTCAGAGAAGAGGGCAATGAGAGCAATCTGCAGCTCCGACTCTGAGCCAGGGATAGAAAGAGGATGAGGAGGCCACCCCCACACCCAGACTCCCTCAAACCGTTCTTTCAAGTGTCAGCTCTGTATGTAAACTGCCAGATAAATGTGAACATAAACTGGCATTCCTCACCCCCAACCTGCTCGCCCAGGGGCCCTCTGTCCCGCCTCACCCGTGTAGGCATACAGTCGGTAATTGGTTTCCACAACAATGAAGCCTGGCTGATGCACAGTGCCCCCAGCTCCAGAGACACCTGATGAGAGATTGATGGCCAGGCGTGTGGGGTAGTAACGCCGAGATTTCCTCTGGAAAGGATAGAAAGGCAGATGCCTTGTCTCAGAAGTCACTGCCTTACATCTTCCTGCCTGAAATATCAGACCCCTCCCAAGACGCAGAACCTCAACCCCCAACTTCTCTCCCCCGAGAGACCCACGTATTCAGTCCTGCTACTGTCCCAAGAGTCCACTCTTTTTTTTTTTTTTTTTTGAGATGGAGTCTTGCTCTGTCACCAGTCTGGAGTGCAGTGGCACAATCTTGGCTCACTGCAACCTCCGCCTCCTGGGTTCAAACGATTCTTCCGCCTCAGCCTCCCGAGTAGCTGGGACCACAGGCTCATGCCACCATGCCCGGCTAAATTTTTTGTATTTTTAATAGAGACGGGGTTTCACCATGTTGGCCAGAATGGTCTTGATCTCTCGACCTCGTGATCCACCCGCCTCAGCCTCCCAAAGTGCTGGGATTACAGGCTTACACCACGCCCGGCCGACCCCACTCTTTTTAACGGCAAAGGCAACACACCACCCTGTTTCTTCCCTGGAAGCCACTTATTTAGGCACTCATACCTTCCTCTGGAAAACAAGCCCGAACTCACGCAGATGTTGCAGGAAATTCAACAGAGAATCACTCATACCTTCCACAGAGTAATCCTGGGGAAGAGAGGTGACCAGCTGGGGTCCAAAACACAACCCACCTACCCCTAACCTCACACATTCATTCTTTCTCCATCCATCTCTGCTCATTGTGTGTTCGTTCTTATCTTCTTCACTCTACTGCCCCACAACTTGCTCTCCCCTTTGCATCTCCATACCTGTCAGCCCCCTGCTTACCTTGCCCAGAGTAGAGAAGCTGAGCTGGAAGAGGAAGGAAAGAATCTCTACTAGGTCCATGCCCCGGCTCTAGGGAGAAAGAGGCAGAGATAAAGGAGAGATGGGAGGGAGACAATGGGGAGAAAGGGGCAGAGAAAAGAAAATTAGGGAAAATTCATAGGCAGGAGTCTCTCAGTGAGACCTGAGAGGAGCAGAACATGCTGGCAAGCGCCCCCCACCTCCTCACCTGGGCTGTCTGCAGATACTGCAACATAAAGTACCAGAGCTGGGCTGGGGTGTCCAGCAACAGGAACTGGAAGCCAGCAGAAGTAATGCAGGGTGGCTCTCCAGGTTCAGCACTAAGGACAAAGAGCAGGACAATGATGGTGATATGCAGAGAAAGGCTACTATACCCACTTGTCCACTCATGTTTTTTCTGGGTATCTCTGGCTATATTCTACTCAGCTTGCTTTTTCCAGACGATGTCCTCTGATCTTGACCAACCCGAGATACCATTTCTCAGAGACTCAAGGAGATGGCACAGCAGCAAACTGCTGTACCTCTAACTTCCTTACCTCTTCATGAGCCCAGCTTGGCTGAGGAGCTGAGCCAAGTCCTGGCTAACAGCTGCACTGGGGGAGCCCACCATGAAGTGCAAGACCACCTGAAGAACAGAAAGAACAGGGAGACCATGCCCCGAGGGCCATAGGAGGTAGAAGCTAAGTCCCAAGTGCTTACCTCCCATCGCTCTTCAGCATACTTGTCAAGGGAGGGAACATCCCGGGCATGCTTGTCTGGTCCCAGCTGACTTGTGTCATCAGACCAGGCCTTCCCCCTAGAGCCAGGATGGGCCAAGAGTAAGGACCTCTGACCAGGCACGGTGGCTCACACCTGTAATCCATGTACTTTGGGAGGCCGAGGAGGCAGATCACTGAGGTCAGGAGTTCGAGACCAGCCTGGCCAACATGGTGAAGCCCCATCTCTACTAAAAATACAAAAAATTAGCCAGGCATGGTGGTGGGTGCCTGTAATCCCAGCTACTCAGGAGGCTGAGGCAGGAGAATATCTTGAACCCAGGAGGTGGAGATTGCAGTGAGCCAAGATTGTGACACTGCACTCCAGCCTGGGTGACAGAGCAAGACTCTATCTCAAAAAGAAACAAAACAAAACAAAAAAAGAGTAAGGAACTCTGTCTGTGTTCCTTGCTGTCCTTCTGCCATCTTTCCACCCTTATCCTCAGGGGCCATGACTGGGGGACATTGCCTACACAACACAGCTACATCTGGTCCAACTTATTCCTAAAGGAGCTCCCCAAGGTAGAGACCACAAGGTTCCAGGGAGGCCCCCATAAGCTCCCCCTCCCAAAGTTTAATAGCAGTTTAATTAGCAGCAGTTTCCCTTCCCTAGCTTAGGAAGAGATAGAAGTGACATACCCACCCAGAAGGGCAATGCGGAGGTTCTGACGGAAAATGGGGTTGAGGATAAGGCCCTGGAGCCCGCCTGGGAGCAGCTGGGTGTGCCAGATCCGGAGGCCACTCAGCAGCCCTGTACTTTCCTCCTGAGCCCTGGAATAGAAGCAAAGAGATGAGAGGGGGTGTCTGGAGAACAAAGAGAAGGCCCATAAAAGTTACCATTCCTGCCTGTTCTGAACTTGCTGATCTTTGAACTACTGTTTCACAGAGTGAAATCAGTATCTTAAGACAAATGCCTTTACTGCATTACCTATCAGAGCCTCATTGCTGATAACACACATAACTAAGAGGGAAGATACATTTGAAAACAAGAAGTCAGCTGGGAAATAAATAAAAGGGAAAACGCAGTATGCAGCATTTCCTAAATGTATTTATTTTTAAATTTTGTGATCTATTAATATTTCCTGGAAGTGCTCCAAGAAACAGCAGTTTGGGAAATGTTGCTGTTGAGAAATCTGTATCTGGCTGAGACTTACTTGCTGAATTCCTTCTTCACCCACAGGGCTACAGCAGCTTGTGGCAAAGGCTGCTCCAGAAAGAGCAT